CTATTGAAAAGCAAGGTGACAAAGATAAACTAAGGGGGACAACACTCTACAAGGGCTGATACAGGGAGGCGTACACTAGAAACTGGCCAACAGTCTTGAGAAAGGAGATCACAGGAACACCCATACCAGGGGCTAAGGGCACAGCCCAGTAGTAGAGTTCTCTTGCCTAGAGTGAGTGGTTTCATTTCCAGCATTGTGAAAACAAACAAGCCAAACATCCAACTACTTAGAAATAACAGGTATGACCGAGGGAAGTGTAATGTGTGGGTCTTAAAGGATTGGGGATTAGAGGCTATGCAGGCTCAGGGAGTAGGGCACACATTGCTCTCATAGACGACCTGAGTTAGACTCCCCAGCTCTCTTGTGGAGAGGCTTACAACATCCATAACTCTAGTTCCAGAGGATCTAACACTCTCAGTTGGCCTCTCTTGGCACTTGCATTCACACACACACACACACACACACACACACACACACACACACTCATATATACATCTACATAGAATTTTTTTTTAAACATTGAGGATTGGACTGCACATAAAGGTTCATGCTATGGACCAGTGGTCCTCAACTTCGCTAATGCTGTGACTCCTTAAAACAGTTCCTCATGTTGTGGTGACACCCCAAACCATATTATTTCATTGCTGCATCATAACTGTAATTTTGCTACTCTTATGAGTTGCAGTATAAATATCTGATGTGCAGGATACCTGATGTGGATCCCTGGTGGGGTTAGAGAGCCACAAGTTGAGAACTGCTGATTTAGTATTTCCAAACAGGTAAATGTTGTGGAAAGCAACGATAGTAATGTGTGTAGAGTGAATGATTGTAGTCACCCCTGCACTGAGCTTATGGCTAAAATTATATGTTTCTTTTATACACTCTTATGTATTCAGTGAATGTGAACATGTGGCTCTGTTAATTCATGTGTGTGTGTGTGTGTATGTATATGAATGCATGAATGTTCACATTTGTTCATGTTCTTGTAGAGGCTAGAGCGCACCTTTGAGTGGCATCCACCTTAGGTTTTAAGACAGGGTCTCTCAATGGCTTCACATTGGGCAAGAAGACTAGGTGTATGACCGGTGAGGTCCAGGGGCCTGTCATGTTCTCTACATCTATAGCATAACAGCTGTATCTCTGAGGCTTCGTTATCTGTGACAAGATGAAGATCTGGGGACACACAGCCAGGACAGGTGGAGGGTGTGCACTGAGCTTGCTCTCCTAGAGTCTCAGCCTTCAGCATGTGTTCCCCCTGTGAACTTCTAACAGCTGCTCCCCATCCCACCTCCCACAGAGGAGACAGATGTGGCACTCACCCCCATCCCTCCTCATCCAGGGAGGACCTGCTCACTCCTCATCTCTCCCCAGCAGTCAGCACCCCCATGCAGAGCCCCTCCATCGTCACCTCTGCAGTCACCACAGCTGGACTGGAGGACACAGAAGACCAGAGGAATCCTTCACTTGTGAACCTGGGAGCCACGGTCGGGGTACTGGTGACCACGGCTCTGCTCATAACCCCCATCTGTGTGTTGATGATCTTCCTCTGGTGGAAGAAAAGGTGAGTGGTCCAGGACAGGCCCTTCTCTGGGCTTCCCCACTGAGTTTGCAGCTGTGGGAGATGGAGAAAGATGAGCTAGTGTAGGGCAGAGCCCAGAGAACACGAGGACAGAAAGGAGGCTGAGCTAAAACAGCACTGAATCTGTGCCTACTTCCTTAGAATCTCAGCTGGAGAGCCGGTGCACGCCTTTAATCTCAGCACTCCGGAGCAGAGGCAAGCATATCTCTGTGAGTTTGAGGCCAGCCTGGTCTACAAGAAAAAGCTCCAGAACAGGCTCCAAAGCTACAGAGAAACTTGTCTCAAAAAAAAACAAAACAAAAAAAAATTCCAGCTGGAAATTAGAGGATCAAGTGCAGATGAACACAGCCTGCTCCTAAGGAAATCAAGGGGCATACGGGATCCCCAGGGCTAACTGCTCATTTAGAAAAGGCTGTGGCTGCTAAACAGATTCTGAGGTAGACCAGCATTCAGAGAAAACATGTCACAGGAAGTGAAACCCATGAAGACAGACAACTGTTTGAGTTGGGGATATGGTATTAAAACAGAAATTAAAAATAGTATATAACCTACAAGTGAGAAGAAAATGTCTAAGAAGAAACTATACTAAAAGAGGCAAAAACATTTTGAGCCCTAAAAACAAACCACTGCTGAAAGAAATTTCAGAACTTCTGGAAAGATGGTATAGTGGGTAATTAGTTGCCCCACAAACACAAGAACATTAATTCCAACTTCAGGATCCACTTAAAAAGTTGGCCAACTTGGCAGATACTTGGACAGACAGAGACACTAGGACCCCAGTCCTGTCTCAAAAATGTAGATGGACATCACCTGGAGATGCTACCTAAGGATGTCCTCTGCCATCCACATGGGTGTGCACACATGCAAATGTAAACATATACATATACACTGCCAGAAAATAAATTTCAAAAAGTAGGGAAATACTAAAATATATAAGAACATTTGCATAAGTTTTATACAAATAAAATTTATGCAAAAACTCCGTACACTGCAAAACACTCTAAAATTCACTGCATTTCCTATTCAAATCCCAATGTGTTTTTGTAAAGAGAAATGATTTGTCTTCTAAAATTCAAAAGATTGTAAGAAACAATCATGAAGACAGAGTAGGGGACACCCGAATCCCAGCATTAGGAAGTACAGAGAGGAGAATCAAGAGAACAAGGTTGTCTGGAGTTACATAGAAAGTTGAAGGACAGCCTGGGCTCATTGAGACCTTGTGCACATGCAAAAAACAAGAGCCAAGTGTGTACTGAGAGCAGAGCAGATTTAAATCCGTGCTGAGTAGAAGACTACAGGGCAGGAACAGAGATGAGAACACAGTGGAGTGTAACGGGAGCACAGAAATAAAGTGTGAAGAGGTAGGTCGTGGTTTTCAGAAGGGCTCAGCCTCCATAGGAGAGAAGAAAAACAGAATTGTGAGAGCAAGGACTGAGAGGCAGCAGAAGTCTGAATGGGATTCCAACCCTGACACTGAATCTGCAGGGTGCAGCAGCCTTCACTCACAGGGAAGCCAGGGAGCCAGTTTCCAGGGAGACAAAAGGGAGGCCTGGTGAGTGCAGAGCAGGGAGAGCAGGGAAGGGACATGAGGTCAAGGCAGGGGAAGGAGGCAAAGGGAGAAGAACATGGACAAGGAGCAGTGGACAGGAGAGGTGTCCTCTGATTGGCTGTGCTGTGCAGAAGGACAGTTGAGGATTGTCTTCAGGTCCTGGTGACTCTCAGACCTTTCCCTGAATGTCTGCTACAGAGCTGTTTGCTGCCTGGGCCCCTAATGATGTCTGAACACAGACAATAACTGAGAGGCTTGGCTGCCGGACTGACATTGTTTCTTCTGTTACAGACTAAACTGAAAACCCTAGCCAGGTGACTGCAAGAAACAGGCAAGGGGCTGTTTAGTGGTTTGAATAAAAATGGATCCCATAGACTCAAGGATTTGCATGTTTTGTCACCAGGGAATTGCACATAGGGTGTATGGCCTTGTTGGAGTTTTGGGGACTTGGTGGGAGGATTAGATCACTGGGGGGTGGGTTTGTATTTCAAATGCTCAAACAAGGACCAGTGTCTCTCCCCCTGCTGCCTGCAGATCCAGACATAGAACAATCACATCTTCCTGCCCTTCACGGAACTGGTGACACCTTGTCATGGGGAACGGTGGGATGACGCTCATACAGAAGCTGTCCTGAGGTCATCACAGTCTCTGCCCCCCTTCTCATGTTTCTACCTCGGTCACGGTCTGTGTGTCCACTCTCAGAGGTGTCCCAGGCAGTCTGGCATGACTGACACATTGCTGCTCTGGCCCTGCTTTGCAAAATGAGTACACAGAATGTTCTGGAATGAAAAGAACTAGAGAGAGTCATCGATAGAGCTTCATGGAAGGTGTCACCTGTCCCTGGCCTTTAGGTCAGGCTGAGCAGCCAGGACTATGTCTCTGTGCAGAGCGGAAGCCCTCAAGGACTTAGGGTGACTGGAGTCCCCTCAGATCTGCCATTCAATGATGGTATGGCCTGAGCCATGTGGGTGGGAGGACAACAAGGCTCTGGCAGAAACAGGATATGCTTTAGAATCCATGTGTAGGGACAGGGGTGTCAAGTGGAATCCTAATCCACTGTGAACTGGGCAGCAGGGGGCAGGCAGGCCAGGGCAGTGAGCATCCAGCACCCCTTGCTGTATCCTGAGAATTTAAATGGGCTGATAAAGAACAGGAAGGGTCAAAGAACAGGAAGGGACCATGTTCTAGAGTTGGGTTCTGAGGGAACATCCGTTCCAAAACTTTCATATACAGCATCTCTTAACTGACCATAGTCAGATACATGGGTCAGCTTTTCTCTCCCCGAAAGAGCATGTGCTGGTCCAGGCAGGCTCTTCCTTAGCACGAGAGAGAAGCAGACACACAGAGAGCCAGCAAGATAGGAGATGGAATGAGAGAGTGGGAAGGGGAGGCAGTGATAAGGAGATTGTGGGGTCTGACCCCAACTCACTGGCTCACATCATAAGGCCCTGGGGACGTGTGTCACTTCATAGTAATTCTCTCCTGGGAATGAGGAGCACAGGCAGATATCAGGCAGGAGACGGAAGAGACCGCATGGGACATATGAAGGACTGGACAGACAGGAGGTCGAGGTGGGAGAGAGGAGAGTTCAGCATGGTGAGGTCAAGGCTGCATCTTTCAGTCAAACATGGGGGTGAGGCTTAAGAGCAAGGCCATCTTGTCAATGACCACAAGGGCAGATCTTCTGCAACATGAGAAAGAAACCAGAATGATAAAGGAAGTTGCTGGTCACAAAGAGGTGGAGGTGGGGAGGTCCTGTCCCCATACAGTCCTCCACATGAGAAGGCCCCGGGGAGTGTGGGTCATTTTACTGATTCTCTCCTGACTCCTGAGCACCTTAGGGTCCCTCCACGGGTCCTCCTCTCCTTCCTGATGGCTGTACTGGTCCCATTCCCTGGAGGGATCCTGCTTCTGCTGCTGCCAGCAGCATGCCTGCAAGCTGGTGAGTGTGGGAACCTTGTTATCAGAGACTCTGCCTTACAAACAGGAGGGACCAGCGGGTCTGGGTAGACTAACCTGGCATGTGGACAGGTGACTGCTCTAGGAGCCAGCCAGTCCTCTCTGCCCCAAGAGAGAGCGCATCCCTCAGAGTGGGTCCAACCCAAGCCTTCCCTGGCTTTCCTGTCCCACCAGCCATAGGACAGTCCTTCCTTGCATCCCACACTCGCCTGGGGGAGAAGGTTCAGAAATTCTGGCTGTCATTTCCTTCCCCTGCAGAGGCTTCAGATTCTCCCCATCCTTCCAGGTAACTCAGGAAGATCCAACAGAGAAAGACCTTTAGAGGTCCAACAACCAACACACCTCTCTGGTGTCCAGGGCGACTCCATCGAGATCCCCTTCTCCTTCTATTTCCCCTGGGAGTTGGCAAAAGATCCACAGATGAGGATTCTCTGGAGATGGAAGGCTTTCCATGGGGAATTTATCTACAACTCCTCCTCGGGTTTCATCCATGAGCATTTCAAGGACCGGCTCATCCTGAACTGGACACAGCCTCAGACATCTGGAGTCCTCAGAATCCTGGGCTTGAAGGAGAAGGACCAGACAGTGTACTTCTGCCGAGTTCATCTGAACACAAAAGATGGCATACAGGAGTGGCTGTCAACTGATGGAACCCAACTCACCATTACCCGCGGTGAGCCACCAGGGTTCTGGCTTTGCTGTCTCTGTGTTCTTTGTCCCATAAATATCACCTCAAGATCCACAACTCTGAGCTTTCTTTGATATTCCTTTTGCTTGGCTCTGCCCAGGCCTGACAACAGGGTCTTCCCCCTTAGATGTGACAAGTCTTTGCTGTGTCCTCTCACTTTGTCTGACATTCTCTGCTCAGGTGCAACCACACCCCACACTAGGATTCATCATGGGGCCCACAGCTTATGTTATTTAACACCTTTTTGGCCCAAACTAACACTGTGGTCCAGGCCACTTCCCCCTTCCCCGTGACCATGAGGAGAGTTAACTTTTTTTTTTTTTTTTTTTGAGTGAAAGCTCATGATTTTATTGTCTTCATAACAAGATCAGCTTAGAACTGGATCACTTGGCCCTTTGGCCCTTTCTCTTCTTATCACTTCCCAGTTCAAAATGCTTGCATCTCAGCAGTAAAAAACAAGGACTATTTGAAGTTTGCAGGCAAATGGATGGAAATAGAAAACACTATCCTGAGTGAGGTAAGCCAGACCCAAAAAGAGGAACATGGGATGTACTCACTCATATTTGGTTTCTAGCCATAAATAAAGGACATTGAGCCTATAATTAGGGTTCTTAGAGAAGCTAAATAAGGAGAACCCAAAGAAAAACATATAGGCATCCTCCTGAACATTAACCTTCATCAGGCGATGAAAGAAGACAGAGACAGAGACCCACATTGGAGCACCGGACTGAAATCTCAAGGTCCAAAGCAGGAGCAGAAGGAGAG